TCTACGGCCATATCACGCTGAAAGCACCGGTTCTCGTTCGATCCCCGAAGTTAAGCAGCGTCGAGCCCGGTTAGTACTTGGGAGGGAGACCACCTGGGAATACCGGGTGTCGTAGACTTTTTTTTGTTAAATTTTATTTTATATTTTATAATGTAATTTTATTTTTAGTTTCATAAATGATAAATTACAATTAATATTTATAATAAAATTTTAAAACCAGTTTAAGATATTTTTTTATATGTTATTTATATTAATATGGTTATTTTAATATGTTTTTAAAATAGCATTTTTTATATGTTACAATTTTAATAACTGGACAATTTTTATGTTTAAAGCTTCGTTGTGTACAGTGCACTAAAATGGTATCAATGACCTGGTTAACTGATAACATTTATAAACAAAATGTGTATAATTGAAGCTCACCATGCTATAACGATTTAAGTATTTTTGAATGTAAATTGTTGCTGGTAGTTAAATAAAACTTAAATAGCGGATTTATTTTACCATTATATATTTTTATTTATTAAATAATCATATTTTTAATTCAATATTAATGTTACATAAACATTTATAATATAAAATTAAATAAAAGTTTTATTTTTACTCACAATTGGATAATCTATTATATGATTTGTGCATTGATTACAGTTTACATTTTGTGATACTTAATGCACTATAGCATACTCTCACCCAATTGTTGAATAAATACTAATTATTAATAATAATTATTATTAAAAATTATTACTATAACAATTATTGTTGAATAAACTTCTAGAATAATTATGCAATATCAATTTTATGAATTAATAATTAATACATTATAAGTTATATGATATAACACTTCAAATAATATAGAGTATATCAATATTTATAAATACATAACAGTAAAGTATGTAAAACTTATAAACATAGCACTTAATGAATCTATGTCATTTTACATAGACAACACTAATTGTTACAATTCAAAACAACCTTTATAATAACAATATTTGAAATGAAAATTAAAAATTATTTCAAATGTTATATCACATATAACTAGCGTGACCAGGGTCAAGTGTTACAAGTGTATCGACCTGGTCACACTACATATAACACACGATTGATTAATAAACCAATATATTAGATGCCGTATTAGAGTTATCGGCGAATATCTCCCTCAAGAGGTCAAAGGGTATGGACTGAGTGCCTATTCCTACAGTGAGTGTCCGTTTTTTCTGTGCCAATACCTCCAGTTCTGTCAACGCGTTGATTAGTTTCAGGAATTTATTCTGCGAATCAAATTCCGTGCGATATCTCAATAGTAGATAGCGTTGCAGTAAATACATGTATACGTGTTGTTGCAGTCTATGGGGTTAGGTATAAGTAGATTATATATATATATATATATATTAATATCTAATATTTAAAGTTATTGAATAAATTAAACTAGTCACGTACTTGACCATTTGCTTGGATATTAGGTTAGGCCGATTTGGGTTAAACAGTATGATCGCTGTTAACTGTAATAAATAGTTTTGTAAGGTTATTAAAAAATATATTTTAAAATAAATTTTATGTATTATATTACCAGGTCGAGAACTACAGGATCCATATCCCACTCGCCGCATATTTTATGATAAAATAATTTATATTGCTCATATACTCCTAGTGGTTTACTCCTATACGTTTCCAAGGGGAATTTAACTTTGTCTTTAGTACACTAATGAGACAAAAAAAAGCATTAAAACTTTAACACCCTTAATTAATAATACACGATATGCAATACGTAAAATAATATTGTATTATTATTTAAACATGCTAAACAAGTTTAGTATAAAAAATATTAACTTAACAAAAACTATGACATACCGTCTCAAAGCTCCAGCAGTCCTTATCTGTGTTATAATTGGGAACTATACTCATGTAATACAGCGCGAAACAGCCGTACTTTATGAGGGATATCCTATCATTTTCGCACAGACTATTGAATGCGGACAACCTTTTGGACATTTGTATCATTTTCATAGTCTGCTCGTTAATCTTGTGAAACATCACCCAATTATTTCGGATCTCCCAGGCCGTCACCGGCCATACCCTGATACTATCGGTAGCCGTCAATAGTTCCCGGAGTTTACTGCTCTCTAAGTCATTCAATTGGTTTCTATAGTCCATAAGCGGTCGATAGATAGGTATGACGGACACCGACTGTCCCTCAGGTTTGCGCACATCACTCATGAAGTCCAAGAAGTCTATGATCTCGGAGTCTGTGATGTCTTTGTGGTAATCATTGGTGTCATGAGTGGTGTGTTTGGTATGGGATTTAAGGTCCGAGTCGTATGTGTCGCCCATTTGTCGGACAGTAGTGTTTGAGTCCGAAGTATAGCCCACACTGTCATCCGTTTGGCTATTACTGGAATCCGACGCTGTTGTCGAGTATGTCGTGTAGACCTTGCTATTAGTCTTTGTATTCAATTCACGCTTTTGTCGATTAGTTTTGATTAAATTGTTTCGCTTTTCCTTTTCATCCGTATTCAGTATATAATTCTGTGGAGAGAGAGAGAGAGAGAGATTTAAAATTATCAAAATGTGGACCCAGTTACCAAAATAGTATACTTCAACTCAGCTTTACTATTGCTTATAGTATCACAAAAATATATTAAAATTATATTAAAGCAGGGTGAAAGTATACACTTTGATTAATAGTTATAAAAAATATAATACTTTATTCATTCCCATAGCGAAGCATTTGTCGATTCGACACTTTTTGCATTTAGTCCTTGTTTTCAAATCAATGCGGCATTTATTACCGTAACAGCACTTAAGGGACTGTAAAAAGATTTAAAACAATTAAAATTATCACAAGATTTTTAATTCTTTTCAATACTCACCTCAGGTTTGACGGCGTGTCGCCTAAAGAAAGCCTTACACGAGGCACAGGACAGGGCGTCGAAGTTATTGCCTAAACGTTGGGTATACGACACATTCAGATAAGAAATTATATTTAAAAAATTATTTAAAAATTTTATTTTTAATACTATAAGTTAATTTAATTATATATTAGCTAGCTGTATTTTAGTTGGCTAGTTATATAATTTTAGATTTAACTAGATTAAATTATAATTACCCAACGCTTTATCGCCGCAAATCAGACACTTTTTATCCATCACTTTGTCGCACATTTTGTATTTAAATTAATTGACACAGCTAGTTTATAATATATTTTCAATTAAATAGTATTTGATTTTAATAATAATTGAACGAGGTGTATTTTTAAGTAAATAATATAATGGTTTAGGGTAAACTGGTTAAATAATAAACTACAATGAGTGTTAAATAAATAATTTAAAATTGTAGTGTGTTATGTACTGTATATCTGTTTACAGTTTGTTACTATGGATTCAAAATATTAGTGAAAGTACTTTATATAATAATTATATATTATTAGGCAGTGTATGCGCATTATTACTTTCTAAACCCAAGGATATTTTTATATTACTTGACTTTGACCTTGACACTTTACACAAGTTACGACAAAATATTTTATTTACATTAGTTTGCAAAACATTGTATCGCGGGAATTATAATATTATAAACATATATGATTTTAATATTACACACACTGCATACGGTATAGCCTAACTAAAGTGATCAAGTAACAATCAATTCTAATTTAATGAATGCATTATTTGAAATATTTTACATTTTATTGAATACTTTACTTTACTTATAAACAAGTTAGAAAACACTACAATTTAATTTATCATTTTTAAACATTTTTACAATTAAAGTGTTTTATAACTTATATGTACTGTTATAATGATTAACAGATTATTTTCAAACAACCATTTAAACTAGTATTATGTGACAAATAATACTGCATTTTGTACACTAAATCATATAATTCATTACAAAATTAATTACTAAATCTATTTAATAAACAAGGTATAGTTTCAAGTACAATGAGCCTCTTGGATATAATCTTGAAAACATCCAGAAGGATTAATGAGGGTACTTTATCTGAGTTATAATTGAGGTAGATCTGGGTACGTTTAGTTTTTGTAATTAATGTTACATGCAATTCGTGTAAACACCGCATAGGTCTCCGGAATTTGTCACTCGATTCCGATTCCGTACTATATTTTAATAGTAGATAGCGTTTCAGTAAATATGGGTATACAGCTACGATGCACACTGGAGCCATTTGGAGCCACACTATGAGTGACAAAACTTTAAAAATTCTAACATTAATCTCTATACTGACTAATGTTATAATAGTCACTGTTGTGTCACTGTTAATGTGGCCCGGATCACAATGTATGCGCATCGTAGGTATACAGTATTTGCTGTCGAAAATTTCAATACTATCAATAATACAATAATATCAATGGTATAATCATATCAATAGTATAATAATATCAATAATACAATAATATAAATAGTATAATAATATCAATACTATACTCATATCAATAGTATAATCATATAAATGGTATGATAATATCATTAGCGAAATAATATCAACTTGTGATCATTAATACAAAAAATATTAATTTAAACGGATGACATAAAATTAAATATCTTTTTAACTATGACAACTACGGTTGGTGTGACAAATATTAATAATCGTGTTAATAAAAATAAAGTAATTTATTCATTAAATAATGATGTACAGTACATATCAACTTAAAATATACCAAGTAATAACTATAAATAGAACTGGATAGTTTTGGAGCATTTTATATAACAATAGTGTAATAAATGTTATAATAATTATTAATAATAATTTATTGTACTGTTTTTGTTTTTTGTTTTATTTGAAAACTATAATATTTCTTAAAAATATTTTATACAAGTTTTTTGATATTATACTGAAAATGTCAATAGATTCATCTCAACCCATACCACGGGAATGGCGTGTAAGGGGTGCTGACAGTCATGTCTATCGCATTGGTTTATCACTATTTAAACCCATTTATTATTGCAATAGATATAAACTTCATAATCCATTGTTTATATCATTTATATGCATTTGGAGATTAATAACAAGTACTATTATATTGTATATATATTTTAACAAGATTACAATTGTACCCTTGTTACATTTGTTACTTTGTGATCTGGATTATTTTCTAAATATTGGTTTCATTCAAAATATAATGAATATAATAATGGATTTGTGTTTACTATCACTACAACTATTAAATTACTATAACTATAGACATGATATAAAACCTACGGATTTAAGAGTATTTCAAATGATTTGCGGGTTAATTACACCCAAAAGTATCCGGATCAATGACGAGATATTAGTTTGCAAACTGTTAAAAATATCTAGTAAATTATTTTATATTGTTAATTTATTAAGCATTACTTTTGCAGTTGTGTGTGGATTATACGGATTGTTTATTTTCATTAAAATAAATGATCTAGTATACTTCATATTAATTGGCATTCCTGTTATTATATTACATACACTATTTGGACATTTTTGTTTCATTGTATTTGAGTATCAAACTGTTTATTTCATAATTATTGCATTTTATTTGACATCAAAAATCAAAATAATAAATATTGTTATCAATGAACGCATTAAAAAGCAATCAAATGATAGTTATTTTAAAAATTATTTATTTATCACAAAAACTATACGAGAATTGAATGCAATTTATGTGGAAATCTATGAATATAACAGTCAGTATTGGTCTAAATTTTTAATGATATTTTGGTTTGGATTTTCTACATTTATTTCAGTTGGAATTAATTTACTTTTATTTGTAGATGATCATTACATAATAAAAATTATAATTTTATTTACAATGATCATATTAATAATGATAATAATGCTCATAATCCATATATCATCAGCACTTTATATCTCCGCCAATAATACTTATATTGTATTCAATTCATACATATCTCATATAAAACATATACCACTCAGAAGTAGATTAAAGGTATGCTCTCTCTCTCTCTTTCTCTCTCTCTCTCTCTCTCTCTCTCTCTCTCTCTCTACTTAATTAATTAATTTGTTTATTAAAGTTATTAAATATAATGGAAAGAATTGGTGTCAAAAAAGTTGGATTTTCGTGTTGGAAACTATTTGTTATAAACGACTTTCAAGGCTTTAGGGTTAGTATTGCATTGTTCAATAAACATACAATTGCTACTACTAATTAATTATGTTTATTTATTACATTTAGATTTTATCATACATTCCTTATATGTTTATGAAGATTTTTAAGCGTCTATGATTAAACTTAAATTAATTGTTTATTTATTCAAAGGTTTTACGAGTATATTGCTAATTTATTAATGACATTATTCAATCAAAAAAAATTTAAACAAAATTATACATCACAAATTTATTAAATTACTTATTGAATTCACACGAAATATTGCCAGGTACATTGAGCTCATGATCCTGATAAATTTAATCTCAAACACCTACCTGACCATTGACGAGGGTACTTTGTCAACGCTATAATCGAGGTAGACCAAGGTACGTTTAGTTTCGGCCATTACATACAATTCGTGTAAACACTCCATAAGTCTCCGGAATTTATCACTCGATTCCGATTCCGTGCGATATTTTAATAGTAGATAGCGTTGCAGTGAATACCTGTATATTTGTCGTTGAAATTTATAAAACAAAAATAAAATTCATTTACATTTACACCGGATGACCTAAAATTTAATAACTTTCAACTAATGAAAACATGTTGTCACAAATATTAATAATTACTGTATGTTATTAAAAATAAAGTAATTTATTCATTAAATTTTAATGATGTACATTATGGTAAAAATATCAATTAATTAGTATAAATAGAACTGGATAGTTTTGAAAAATTTTATTTAACCATAGTGTAATCATTGTACTAATAATTATTATTAATACTGTATTTGTTTTATTTGAAAACCATAATATTTCTTAAAAATATTTTATACGAGTTTTTGATATTACACTTAAAATGTCAATAGATTTGTCTCAACCTTAAAATAAATAACATATTTTTGAACAAAATAAATTTAGTAGTAAACCTACTTAACTTTATACATATTCAGCGCAAAGTATAAAGCAATAAGTTTTGTAATTACTTACAGTAAATACTAGTATAATACTTTGTATGTGTATTATAACAACATTCGGCAATTTTTTTTAATTTCTAATTTTTATTTACTTGTTATTACTAATAACTTATTAGTTAATAATAAAATAGTAAAAACGCTAAACAAACGGCTAATTATTTTGTGGCCCTGTATTAGCGCCGGTAGTATTATCCTTAATTAAATACTCGACGCACAGGTACTCCAGGTTTTTAACGCCCAAATGGATAGCCGTCTGCATGACATCGTTCATCACAGA